TGCCGTCTTCATCTTTCTGCATGTGGAAAAGAATGTATTGAGAAGGCAAATTCCTTAAAAAACAACACTGGAATGATACAGCCCAAAGGACATGACATTCTGTAGGCAAAGGGTGATGGCAAAGGACTCTGAGCAAATAAAGATAATGAGTTTGACTAAGAAAAAAATAAGAGTAATTGAAGGAGACCACCATCTTTTAGAAAGCAAAAACCAAGCTGAGAGAACTCAATGGGTAAAAGAAATCATTTATAACTCATCCTCAACCTGAGTAATTTTTTTAAAAGATCCTAAGGGACACTGATTTATTACTGATTTAAAACAATTGGACAGAAAGAAAAACAAAGCTGTGCTAAGTAGGTAGGTAGATGGGGAGATGCATAAAGTGTGAATAGAGGAAGGACCCAGACATCTGCTTCTGAGAACAAGAAATGAGAATTAACTCCAATTCCAAAAGTATCTCAAATGAGATGGCTTTAGTGCAGCCAGGTTCCTAACAAACTATGCATAGGTATTGGAGATGAAATCGCATTTTTACAAAAAAAAAAAAAAATCAAACAAAAAACAAGGAAAAAAATTCTTTTTTCTTAGAATGGGTATTTTTGGTTAGAATTCAGCCACTACTATTTCTCTTAAACATTTCCATAATGCTCTTTTATGTACTTCTAAATATTCTTACCGTAATTTAATAACCCATCCACTCAAATTCTCAAAATAAATGTTAAAATTATTCCTTTTGACCAAATAAAAGTTCCTATTAAATGGGCTTTATTCATTTAGTTAGATAATAATCAATTACCAAATGCCTATTGGGTGCCAAATTTTGAAAGAGTCTATCTATATAAGTGGTGTAACATATAATAAAGCGTGACGCAGTGTACCAAAATTCAAAAAGTGCCCAAGAGCAGAGGATTTTCCTGACATTCAACAACAAAGCATGACTTAAGCTTAGTGTGAGGTCCTTGCAGCCTTTAATCAGCCTAAAGCGGTAATGACGAACCTATGGCACGCGTGTCAGAGGTGACACGCAAACTCATTTTTTTGGTTGGTTTTTCTTTGTTAAATGGCATTTAAATATATAAAATAAATACCAAAAATATAAGTCTTTGTTTTACTATGGTTGCAAATACCAAAAAAATTCTATATGTGACACGGCACCAGAGTTAAGTTAGGGTTTTTCAAAATGCTGACACGCCGAGCTCAAAAGGTTCGCTATCACTGGCCTAAAGTGTAAGTACATTTCGCTGCAGGAATACGGGAAGTGTTTGGCTGGGGGTACTGCTACTGCTGTGGCTGTTAGGTGTACACACCCATTTTACTAAATTTACTCTGATTCCGTAAGTCAAGTACCTAGCTCTAAGTTGCTGATCTAATGAATTTTTACATACAGTTCCTGCCCTCCGTGAACTCATATTCAAGAAAAAGGTAAACACATTAAAAAAAGATCCCAGAACAAGACAGGATGTTCAGGTGGCCGGTGAGTGGCACAAACAACAGGCCCTGTTTTATCACTCTTGGAATTCCTGATCTAAAACACATCTGGATTTCACAACAGATTTGATTCATCCATCACACCCCAAGGTAAACATGCTCAGGACTGCCAACTAAACCAGGATCCTGGCTGGGAGGTGCTCCTCCGCCCTGGATCTGCTACGGACTCAACACCAATGCAAGGAGGTCTCAGTGCCAACCTGGTCTGGTCTCAGAATACAATGAATTCTGCAAAGGTAGGGAGCGAAGGCCACGCTGAGAAGAGCAGGATGAGCACTCACCCGTTTTGGCAGAGCCTCTTCTCCTGAAGCCCGAGCTGTGAGGGTCCCACAGAGGTTGCTAGTTTTTCTAGATCCATTTCCTAAAGCTGTGAGCCACAGGATGGGAGCCTCCAAAACAGCGGCTCTCAACCTGTGGGTCACGACCCCTTTCAGGGTTGAACGACCTTTCTTTTTAAAAAAATATATTTTATTGACTTTTTACAGAGAGGAAGGGAGAGGGATAGAGTCAGAAACATCGGTGAGAGAGAAACATCGATTGGCTACCTCCTGAACACCCCCCACTGGGGATGTGCCCGCAACCAAGATACATGCCCTTGACCAGAATCGAACCTGGGACCTTTCA